CCAGATGATCACAGTCTAGCAAAACCTGGGATTATACTTTGCCACCCTCTAGCACTGGTGGAATAGCTCTGTCCCTGCCCTGCGCTTTGCTCTGGGCAGAAAGGCAGCAAGAGGCAGGAACACGCTGTGTGTCCCAACTGCCATGGTCCCATCTACCGTTTCCCGTTGGCGAGCACGGCTTGGCCAAGGTGGGACAGCAAGCTGTCTGCGTCGCTCCTTAGACTCACGTCAGCAACAACTGCATGGGCAGGAGAGAGGAGATGGCCTCCAGGCTGGGCCTCAGGAGACCCACCGGAGATCAAGACTAAGGACCTACTGCTTGGTGCCCAGCCCTGTAGTGGTAAGTGTAAGATCATCTCCAGGCCAGAGTTTAACATCTTGAAAAACAATCATAACCACGGACCCCTAATTGTGTAAAGGAACTGACAACTTTAGCTTGCTCTGCTTATGAATTTTGACAACCTTACATTGCCCTTAGCTTCTGACTGTCTGGTTATAGTGCAAGTGGCACCCTTAACAGATAAACTCAAAAACTCAATACCGTTGTTTGCATTTCATACGTATAAGATGAGACACAAATTAGAATTAGCATTTTATATCTGTTACCAAGCCTCTTCCCTTATTTGGAACATTTGGAAATGTTCTGGATTCTTAACAACTGACTTATTAGTGTCAAATTCCAGTTAAAAGCATTGCCATACAATAAGTCAGGAACCTAGAACTTCTGATTTTGGTTTGATTTGTCTGTTACAATCTTTGCCTTGTATTTCACTGGGTTATTTATTCTGTTTTTTTTTTTTATTCTGCTAATGTCTGTATACACTTTGAAGATGTAAAGTGCCATCTAAGTGCCAGGAATTATTACTTATTTAGTAATCCTGTTTCCTGCATTAGTAGCATCTACACAAAGCATGCCCTAGCTTTTCAGTCAAATTTGCTAGTTTGGTCTCCTCTCTTCTTTTAAATTTTTCATACAATGTTTTTTTGGTAGAACTCCTGCTTTGGATCACAGCAGTCCACATCGAACAACAGATAATGCATTCCTGACACTCTGGCAGCTGCTAGCATGCTTACAGCCATACCATCTAACCCTATTCAAAACACACCTTCGCAAGACAGTGCTCAAAACAACAGCTACAGGACCTTATTTGCAAAAAAAAACCCACCCAAACAACAACAAAACATCAACAAGAAACAAGGATAAGGTTCAGAAATAGAATGACCAGGAGCCCCAACGCACCCTCTGCTTTCAAAGGCAGGACTGAATACTGCAGTCCACAGCCAACATACGTCTCTCTGGATCCTGGGCAAGGCCAACCTGCTTGTGATTTCAGGTTTTGGAAGGGCTTTCTGTGAAATGGCTAAGCGTATATTAACTGGAACCATTCTCGTAAGCCGTTATGAGGCCTTGAAAGACTGAGAGCGCTGTCTCCTGAGAACTGAGATAGAGCTTTTCTTCCCCATTTGGCTAGATTATTTCTGTTCACTTTGGAACAAACAGTATCAAAGCATCCAAAAAAAAAATAAATGCCTGCTTGCATATTTCATGTGTTTTAATTTTATCCTTCCAGCCTATCAGCATCAGAGACCTTGTTACCTCAGCCATCTTTTGCCGCTTTTCACTTTTTTTTTTGTATGTGTGTGCGTTTTAGAGACTCTAGATATTAGGGTTACTTATCATTAACTCAGCCCTTTTCTAAACTCAATTTTATGCAAAGTCACCCACATCTCTCCTGATACTTTTTTCCCCCTCTTAAAAGTTTATCAGCTTCCCCTTCCTTATGTGGTTTCTTTGCAGGTTCTGATATTTGTGACTATATTTATGTATGTGTGTATATATACATACATATATGAGAGAGAGTCACAAATATCATATGTATGCACACACACATAGACACAGAGTTGGCTTCCCTGTCAGAAAAAAAAAATGTATACAAGATCTGTCTTTTAAAGACCGAGGATGGAGTAAACCGGTGCAGTTCCCACTGGTGCGGGGCAGTGAGGCACTGCCCTACTGGTGTTCCTTCAGATTCTGTTTTGCAAGAGATTGAAAAGCCACAGATTTGAATCTCTCCTGCAGAAACAGCCTGACTCACACAGGTATACCCAACAGATGTGGAAAACCACTCATTAGTTTGTCCTCCGCAGCCTCTGGAAGCTGCCTGGGAGATCCAGAGGCTCAGCAGAGCTCTACCCAACTCCCCTTGAAGCCTTCATGAAGCTCAAGAAACGGCCGCACACATAAGCAGACAACAAGACCAAATTCCTGACTCCTTGCGCAAACAGCGAATTTCCCAAAGACAACAGAGCCACGCAGCCTCTGCCATAACACCCTCCTTAGTGCTGCAAGGACCGCTCCAGACGGCTGACTCACCGCCCTTGGAGGCCTACCAGCCTCTTCTTCAGCCTCCGCTTCAGCAGAGCAACGAAAAGAAAAACAGGTTCTTGGATATTCCGCAGGAATTCTTAGCACGTCAGTTGAGCCTGCAGAGGTGTGGTTAAAAGCATTTAAGAGAAGCGGGTGCCGATCCCCGCAGCGATGCCTCCCTGCCTCTGTATTGCTCTAGGGAGGGAGGAAGGAGCAGGCATGGCGCTTTGGAGATACCATTGCAGACACAGGAGAAGCCAAGAGCCACCACTTCAAACAGAAGCAAATGATTATCTTGCTTCCCTGTGAAGCAACACTCTTCCCCCGGTTCTTGCCGGGGCAAGCATTAGCGTCTTGCACACAGACATGTTGTACAAGGCAGGGGTGCACAGCAGCGTTCCTGCCACCGGCCTCCTCCTCCAGCGCGCCGCCGGCATCCAGCTCCACCGACACAACCGCACGCAGCAGAAGGCTGTCAGCCACGTTGCAAGATGCTGAGCATTCGGAAAACACAACCAACTAATCAAAACAAAACACAATTACCCCATTTCCGGAGTGATTTTCAACTGCATTACTTTGAAAGCAGATGTGAAAGCACAACTGAAGGAACGGCAAAATTTGAAGCAAGGGCAGGGACAAGTGGCCAGAGGCAGCAAAACTCCTAAAGCCAAATTTGCCACTGAAGCCAATTGACTGTGTGACTGATTTCCTCATAAACCTAATCACTAGAGCCAAGCTTATCTCAGGTGTTGCTCTTTTGTATCCTAATAAAAGCTGCTGGGACCTGCCATATTTGCCAAGCTAACTTTCTTTCAAATCATGACATCAATTGAAAAAAAAAAAAAAGAAGCTAGTATTTAAATGCACAATACTAACTTGCTTTCCCTCCAAAATGCTATAAATATGCAGATAAAACAAACTTGAGCTGGAATTTGAGGGTCTCAGCAATCCTGAGAAGTCAGAGGCTGCAAATACAGATGCTAAGTACACACAGGTAGGGCATTAACAAATTCTTTTTTACACCTACCCAAAAAGAAAAAGAAAGATACCACAATAAGGAAATTATGGCACATATTCATATGAGTAAGTATCTTATAAAGTGAATAACTATGCAATGAAAATCATTAACAATAGAGCCATCTGCTGTACTGCAATAAAACTACACCAGTAGGAAATCTGAAAATGTTATAACTCATTACAAGTTGAATTTTTCACTATTTCATATTACAGAATGTGATCATAATGATTACCATGTCATTTTAAAAGACTGGGTAACTTTCCTCTTTCAATTAAAAGCAATCTTTGCTGGCATAATAATGTTCCTTTATATCTAATGATACTAACTGACTTAGTAGCTGAACATGTAAAAAACACAAGATGCCTCCCATTACATTTGAAGTAGATAAGCACAGTATGGTGTAAGGAGACAAGGAGGTCAGCAGCAAGTCGAATATTTATTTTAATAAGAACAACTGAGACTTGGGTGGCTTTTTCATGCATTAAAGAAAAAGCATTTCCAGGTTAGAGGACTTTACAATGGAAAAAATGAACACAAAAAAAAGATGGAACATTTAGAGGTCCCACCAACCCACTGGTTCTGAGCACATAATTACATTTCCCTCTGTTAATATACTTGAAGTCTCTCTCTTCTTTTAGGCATGATGGATGAAGCAGATATATAGAAGTTGTTTAGTCTATTTCTAGTCCATGCCTTAGAAATGGCATTAATCTACAACCCTAGAAATCTTGGTTAACCTAGAGAAACTTGTACCAGGGTAGGTCCTAAACTGCAGAGGGAATATAGTACTATACATGCAACCTCATGTAGGTTCTGCATCACATTCAGAGTCTGCATGGCTATAACTACGCAAAGAAGTAATACCTACAAACTACAGGCAGCTCCTAATCCTCCCTCCTCATAGGAATGTTTTTCTTCAGCTAAAAGATTCAGAATAAAATACAGGCTCCTAAACATCATGTTAGAATTAACTTAGTTTTCAGAAATGGGAAAGATTGAACACTTTTTGATGCAACCATTGACAGTGGTACTGACTGTCACTGCTTTTGAACACACCAGTTAGAGTCCCTTATAACCCAGCTGAATTTAGCACCTACCCAATGGGTGGTGCTCTCCCTCTTGCTGCCTTTCCAGTAGAACTGAGTTCCTAAATCACATCTCACTGATGTGGTTAGGGATCACAGAACATGAACAAGAGTTGTCGGGATGAATCTTCACAGGGCGGTTCTTCAGCCACTCACTAAAATCACATCTGCATGATTTCCAGAACTGCCTAGATATGTCTGCCCCAAATGTATGTGTCCCTGATAAATATGCCATGAATCAGATGTTTAACAACAAAAATTATTTGTTCCTACAATTTTTGTCATTAAGCATTTTTAAGTGTTATTTAACATTTCATGCAGTTCTTCTAGGTTATACAAAACAAGTGACATCTTGGTACAACACCTGCAACTTCAGTAATTGCTGCATAATAGTTTTTGCAAAAATAGTTTGCAAAATATTTTATGCAAACTTTTGCGACTAGAATTTTTTAAGCTTCATAATAATATAGCGAAGAAACTTCTTAGCTTAAAAAAAAAGAGAGAGAAAGAGAGAAAAGTATATATTTACCTGCCATCATAGCTATCATACTGGCTTTGTAGACATTACCAAGGGACCCTAGTTCACCCGTTGATAAGATTGTTTTCATATGAGCATCTCCACAGGCCTCACGACACTGACGGATCTCCTCATACAGTTCTGTGGATAAAAGCATTTGAAAATGATCAAAGTTGTCTGAGAAACATTTTCAAGCATGGCCGTAATTTCCACTTCTGGATTAATTTCCAGTCTTACAATTAGTCATAACACTCAAGAACTTAAGTTTCCCAAGTTCAATAAATTGCATGACTGTAGATAATTAACAATGCCACACAGTTTCAGACTTAACTTAATAGCTATTAACATCATTCCTCTCAAAAACTAAGGATGTGCACAATATGCCAAAAACTCATGAATATGTCAGCAGTAAAAATACTACGATATTTAGGCTTTTGCAGTATATTTCCAATATTGATTTTGAAGCAGCTTTTTCTGCAATAAATACATTAGGAAATTGAATCAGTGCTCAGGGACGGTTAAGTTTTCCTATATACATCATGTCACCAATCTTTCTGTTGCCTTCAGCCATATTTGTCAAAGGCTAAGTCTAAAAAAACATCGCAGACAGGATCCACTGCAGGTGTCCTGACACGTCACCTAGCTTCCAGCTGCCACTGTGGAGGGTCCATGCGCCCCACTTAGGTCTCTCAGTACCAGCAGGCTCCCTTGGGACGTCTGAACTAGATGCTCGTTGCTTAGGCACCTGAATCCCATGATCTTCCATTTCCAGAAAATAAGAATTTCCTGAAAATTGGCAGCTTGACGGACATGGGCTACTAATATTCCTACAGAGGGGAGACCAAAACCTGAGGTTGCACCTTATTGACCAGGCACTCCTCCCCATGGATTTATAAACCAGCTCAAGCTGCTGCAGAGCTCGTGGGGTTACATGGGATGTGGAGCAGTACAGAGAGACCTGAAAGGGTTCAGAAAAGCAAACCCCACAGCAGGATCACTCAGTGGAAGACAGAGAGAAACCAGCAGCCAGAAACTAGGTCGGCTCAGCTCAGCTTGATGGGGGACTACAGCTCTCAAACCTGGACTTGGCCCTAGGTCTGCAAGACTTTTGGTTGCTTTTCTCACTCGGTTGCATTATAGTCCAAATTTGTCCTTAGCTGACATATGCAGTTCTCAGCAAAGCTGCTGGGATCCACCAGCATCCCAGGGCAGAACAGGACTCTCACTTTTGATCCACATGCTCACCAAGAACACTGGCTGTAATTTAGGAAGGAAATTTGTCCATGCCATCATATTTGCAAGCATTGCCATTCATTGGTTTTCCAACAAGGAGCTGGAAAATAATACAATGTCAGATGCTGGCCACCTAGAGATGAATAAAACTCATCCAGAGTTAACAATATGGAGAAAAGTAGCAGATTTTACAGAGTACAGTGAACATTTATGGAGTGCAAATAAAAAAGACACAAAATAAACAGAATCCCTTATAAGAGGGTCCTTTTCATAGACTGTACTCGCTCTTTAAATACTAAGTTGAAAAGTTAATTTACAGAAGCTTTTAACATGTTTTTCATGCTAGAAATGTCCAGAATACGGCTATGTGAGACTAAACTTACTCAGAAGTGCAACCAGCTTCCTTTTCCTTTCAGTCCTCAAAGGAGACCTGGAAACATCCAGGAGGACTGGTCAGGCTGCTGTACAGCTGCACCTCCCCTCCAGCCATGGTAGCACTGAAGCCTATTGACGCCACCGGCACATCCAGCAGCTGGGACTGGGATCACTGAGGTGCTCCTCGGAGACATATTATGCCCATCAGCAGACAAAGGGCTAATACACTTAGCAAGTCCCTTTATAGACTCTGGTCTTCACCTTGTTTCTCACTGTGTACCCAAAGTGTGAATTGATCAGTACTAGCATGCAGCCTAACATGTTTTATTGATCAATTGATGATACTCCAGGAACCTTCAAGATCAAATCAAGACTCATAAAAGAAATACAAAGAACTTGTGCTATTTTGCTCACGCATTTGATAACACTGCTCATGTTAAACCCAAATGCAATCTCTTTTCATGGAGTTGTATTTTCCTGAAGCCTTAAGAAATCCAAAGAAAGCAGCTTTCATGTTCTTCTAGTTTCGGTAACAAGAAAAGATTCCCATTTTCCCTACTTTAAGATACACCACCAAAAATGTCAAAGCAAAATCAACGTGCATTTAAGTTGGATCACAGAAAAGCAAATTATATCTTCATAACTGCTGTTCGCTGAGGTAGGTATTGAAGCTACAGCATCTTCCCTATTGTTGGAAGTTGCTCTTACATGCAATTAGTGCCAAGATCAGTTGAAGAGTCTCACTATCTGACAGCACTCCTCAACCCACAGGCAGGCAAACTGAGCATCTTCAATCATCTGTGTCTATCAGGTTATCCCAAGTGACGGCATAGTGGGCATACTTTAATAGGGTAGGTAATAAATACTGCTCCCTCTTCAGAGAACAGTTATCACAGACAGCATCTTGTCATTCATAGGACATCCTCAGCCCCGCAGTAAAAGTGCAAATAGAAATGCAACTACTTGTGTGACAGAGAAAATGAAGCAGAGCATCACAGCCTGAAAAAACATCCAACAGGGTCTGCTTTGATAAAAAACAAGTGCAAAAATTCCTACTCCTTTAACAAAAAAAAAAAAAAAAGAGAGAAACGAAGTTTCAGTACTCGCTTCAATCTAAGTCAAATGACAAACTTGAGTATCTTGAAACTTCTCATAAAATGCCTGAAGTACAGCTGGGCTTAACTACATCCAGGCATGTACTCAGGATTTCAAAGTGTCTAGAGCTTCTTCTAGGACAGGCAGTGCTTTCCAAAAAAAGTCAGTCACTTTATTACTCAGTTCTGTTAAGCCTACCAGCAGCAGCAGTCTCAGCAGGATGGGATTTCTGTACTATTAAGTCAGCTCAGGTAGAGCTGGAGGATGTGGCTCCTGAAAGAGCTGACTTGTATAGTCCCCAATGGCAGGTAAAGCTCTACGGAGATAATCTGCATCTTCTACAGAAGACATGAAAATACTACAGAAAAACAAAACAACGAACTCACAGCTCTTTTCCAAAAAAATGTGGTGCTAAACTTCTTACAGTTTATCTGCTTTTCTCCTTTTTTAAAAAAGAAGAAACAGCAACTGACAGCGTAAATAAGAGGTTATGGAGAACTCAGAAGCAGCTGATGCTATGGCATGCAGAGCTGTTTGCTGAAAGCTGTGCAACTAGTGGTAACATTATGGCACCTGAACCAGCTTTACTGAAACTCTAATGTATTTATTGCTAATAGCAAAAAATAATCCAGGTTCTTTCAATAATTTGCTAGTCAACTCCATAACTCTTTATATATGGCTTGCAAAACTGCATTTTTAGACATTATTTAAATCCTGCCTTTTAATCTTAATTCATACTTTGTCAAATGATACAAGGCAATGCTTGAGAAAGCTGCTGTAAAGTGTTATTGCTCTAAAAGATAATAGGTTTCAAAAGGTATGTATGTGTAAGTTCAGAAACTTAAAGCTCATTTAAGTTTATTCTCTAACCTCAATTAGACATCCAATACATTTGCTTTCATGTTCAGCATTACTAATAAGCTCTTAGCAATTATCTTATAAAGAACTGATCTATAAAGAACAAAGGATATATTGGGAATGTCATAACGAGTTTCAGCAATATTTAAGAACGGCTTTAAAACAACTTGACATAATTGGATATACACTAAAATAATCACACAGCAAGCTTTTGAAACAAATCAGAAAACTTGCAAGAAATGCAGCACTTCTCCAATGTGGTGACCCCAATTATTGCAGAGTCTAGGAAAAAAGCTAAAAATATATGAACAATAAAATAAAACACTCTACCACAAACATAGTTTTGTCAATAATACCTACAGTTTTGAAGAATGACAGCATGAGAAAATAACCATAAAAATATACTAGTGTTATAAGTATCAGCAGAGATCCTGTCATAACTGCACAGCAGGTAAAGTTTACGAGGGACCTTGAACGCAGACATAGTTACTGTCCTAGATGCTTTTTTTCAATTTTATATAATATATAGATCCTGCTTACAGAGTTCTTTATCTCTTCTTCTAGCTCCCTCAAACACACTTTAAACATTATAGAGTATCACATACAATCATTAAGCACAGATGGAGAACTACAGGTTTACACAGGTAGCATATAACTACTGCAAGCTAAGCTAGATTTTCAAAAACAACAGAAAAAAAACCCTAGATATCGGGTTGAAATAATTTTGGGAGGATCGGCAAGTTAAAAATTAGTTGTTTCTCCCCAAAGCCTCATAATTATCATTACTATCAGATGACAAGTAGATTCTGTTCCCGAGTTTGATTTTGTGTTCCTGCGATAATGTAAATACATGCCATACTCACAGATTCATCTCCATAAATACGGAAATTTGGAAATAACTTCAATTCAGCCCTCTGTAAAAGAAATGTAAGCTAACCACTGCCAATAAATTGTCTTTCAAGCTTGCTGTGACTTCAGCTTGTGGCTAAAAGAATATGCACACCAAATCAAAAGTCAACTATATTTACTTGTTTAGTAAATTGACAGCTTTATACTATGTTCATCATTACTATGTCTGCATATTCCTCTCCCACAACTTTTCATCACAGAAAACAGTTAGTTTCCCATACATAAAAATCTGCCAACATAAGCCCAGATCATCTTAATTCTGGTTTCATTTCAGCCACTGCATTCAGGTTTCCGGATCGATCTCTGGATTTTTTTTTTTCTCTGACTTTCCTTGTTGCAATCCTGGGTAACATAATCTAGAGCCCACGTTTCCAAGTGGCTGCATGCAGTAGCTCCCTAACCTCTATGCTGTGCAACTTGCATTGCTCGTACCACAAGGTCTGGAGCGTGGTGACGATGATTATGTCCAAAAACTGCCCTAAGGCAGTGACAGACTTTCTCAGGCACAAGTTCAAGTTGCTGCTCAAGTTCAGTTTGGTGGTCTTTTTTTTTTTGAGGGGGGGGGAAGCTGGTTGTGTTGACAGATCACTGAGTCAGCTAGCTCATTTTGTATCTAAGACCTGCACGTGTCCTGAGTGTGCATGTACGTATGTACACACGTGTGACTAGATAAAGAATATGCATCACTATTCTGTTGCTATTTAAAACCCCACAGCCACCCAGTCTCCATATTCCAGCATTTTCTGAGTCTGGATCTGAACTTAACCGCACTGAAAGAAGCAAATGCTGGGGACAATGCCCAGCATCAAGAAGGCATCCACCTCTAAAGCTGCATATTTTTTCAGGGCTAGGGGAGGGAGATGGTAGATGCTACAAAAGAGGTTAAGATGAAAGAGCAAGTGTAGCCAGCATCACAGTCTTGAAGGCACAAATGCAGAAAGTTGCTGGGTTTTTTGTTCATTTCTATTTGCTAATGAAGTTCAAGATCAGAAAATATGTTCTGTTACCACAATGACTAAATGTCCTTAACCAAACTCAGGTGCCAGGTGTCCCTCCTGAAGTGTTCCAATCAACCAGGCTATTACAGTGCTGCATTATACAACTAAATGGGAAATTCATTCCAAGACAATGATGTGTTTACCTTTACATGGAGATTAGTTATAGAAGCACTGTCAGCACTTAAGGCAAACCATTCACAGTACATTAAGAGAGGCAATTAGAGGAAAAACCATCTTCAGCATTATTGTTCTTACTAATTAGTAGTAGTCTAGAGACCCAAGAACATCAATAATAATACGAGCAGTGAATTTGTATCCTCAGCTTCCAGGGAAAAGAAAACAACTAAAATACATATTTTTGTCAAGAATTGAAACATGTATATTTAACAAGATATCATCTACATTAGCAGCCCCTTGGGGGTTTTAACAAAACTGTTCAAATAATTAGAGCACAGGCTCTCACTTTTCTTCCTTTCTTCCTTTCGCACTTACTATTTTTAATACTGTACACAAAATCCTTAGAGGCACAGAAGTAATGGACACAGTTTTTTTCAAAACAAAGCCACTCTGAATGCCCTACCTGATGCAACTCGTAACAGCCGCCTTTTCAAAATAAATGTTTGTCAGAAATTAATTAAACAGTTTTTACCTGGCGCAGTGCCCCAGCTTATCAATCACTCTTTGAGGAGGGACCAAATTCTTCAAGGACTGAAGAGGGGAGTGGGGGAAGGGATAAAGGCAGAACCTGCATGAGCATACACACAGGTTTAGGTCTTCTGCCTAAGGGTACGTACCTTCCCACTGGCCAGTCAGCACCAGAGCCCTGTTAATGACAATATCAATCTCTCTGGCACCATATTCCACAGCCAGCTTTATTTCAGCCACTCGCGTTTGTAGAGGCATCTGTCCAGAGGGAAAACCACCAGCCACTAGGAAGAATGGAGGGGGGAGAGAAAAGCTGCTTTATAGACAGACCATAAAATTGCATATGCCTCTAATATATCAAAAAGTTTGTAATCTATACTTTTTTTTTCTTTTTTTTATCCCAGCCATAGATTCAAAAATCTAATGGCACTCCATCCTTCCCTCTCTTCACTGACAAGAAGTATTAGCTGTTCCCTTTGTCCAGTATTTTGTGTGATGATAACTGTATCTTGCAAAATGGTCTTCATATGCCGTCCATATTCCCAAAGCTCCACTCATACACAGAGCATATATGCTTTTTTAATTCTGTCCTATTCTTTTAAGTAGTATTTCAAGTTAAATCCCAGTAATACATTTAACAGCTAAATCACAGTATAGTAAAAGTTGTTTGCAGTGGGGTCTATTTAAAATTACCTGTATAATGTTTTAGTACGAAACCCCAAAGTAACTTTGGAAGTTGAACAAATAATGGGCTTGCTTGAAATTCTCTCTGACACACAAATGTGTTTGTTAGTATTTATTTTTCCCCATACAACAATGAAATAAACATATCAAAAAAATCCAGCAGACATGGGTACCACTGTGAACCACCTGATCTATCTTCAAAGTTAGCCCCTGCTTTGAGAAGGAGGTTGGAGCAGATGACATCCAGAGCTCCCTTGCAAACTGCGTAATTCTAGGATTCTATTTCTTGCTTTTTGTAAATTAAAAACTTGTTGCTCCTGTGCAGTGACTGAAGACTATTAGAAGCAAAAGTACAAGTCCTGATCCTGCAGATGCTCAGCAGACAGCAAGCCTTGCCTCTGCACACAGTGTCCCTGAATTCAGCTTGTAAGATTATACTAAAAAGCCAAACAACTGATGGGGGAAAACTGTATCAGAACTCTTTAAATCTCACATTTCAATTCTATCATTAACAGCCTCTTGTTGACTAATGATTGTCCAAGGAGACACTGATACTTGTCTTAAAGACCTCTGTGAAGAACTTGCAGCAAAACAGACTTGCCATAAGCTTGAACTGAAACAAAACAAAGGATTATAGCAAAAGCAAATCCTTCACTCCATTCCCTTCCTTCTACCTGCTACCTTTCTACTTGATGCTCCAAAACAAGTCCCAACTTTCACATTTTACTACATTTATACCATCAGAAGATTTAATCGGGTATAAGTCTCATATCTGAAAATAAAGCTCTTACCTGAAGCTACTGGTATGTTACATCCTGCAGCCTTTAGGGCATTAACGGCGTCAGTGACTCTAGTAGGATATACACAGACGGCTGCAACAGTAATACCTGCAAGAGCCAGAGTTCACTTTTATATGAAAATGTACATCATAGTCTTAAGCACTCTCCATATTAAGAACATGTATGCAGTGTTGGCACTTCCCACTTTTGTGTTGCCACAAGGATCTCCAATACCTCTGCTAGGGTCACCTGCCTCATGGGTCAGGCAGTTCAGGTGGCTCTCCACACCGCTGCCTCCTGCGTGTTCTTTCACCTCACCCTGCGACTAAGTTTTTATTATCAGGAGCTAAAACACCAGTATTTTTAATTGACAAACTCACTGCTTAATGGAAACACATACTGTTAAGACATGTTTAGACAGTGATTTACTGCCAACCTATTTCTGTCTTTGCTGGCCAGCCCAAACCCAACAGGAGCTGAGCTCTCCTTATGCAAAGGCAGCTCTACTGCATTTCTGGTTAAAAACATATTCTCTCAAAGTCTCAGATAATTGGTCTAATATTTAATACTTCAACCATCTTTAGGTCTGTAAATTCAAGTTTTTTAAAAAAGAAGACTAATCTTTGTTTTCAAATGTATGGCTAGAAATCAGATTCCCCTTTGGTGTTACACTATCAACCAACCTACCAATGCCTGTGTAAAGCTCAACTCAATAGTAAAAGCATAACCCAAATGTCACAGAGTTCCTTTTTGCTAGAGCTTCATCAGGCTAATGCCAGAAGTCAAATGATATTCACCGACACGTCACTGATTTAGTACACCAGGAAAAAATCAAAGGGGCTGCTCAGATATGAAGAGGGTTTAATGGATTTCAGGTTAGCATAACTGTTTTCCTGGGCTGAAAAGACATCTCCTAAACTAATTACTGAAATAAGCAGATGAGAGATAATGCTTTCTGAAGGAAAAATATGAGATGCTTAAAATTGTGGAAGGCATCTTTTCCAGGAGCCAAAGTGGCAGGCTCTGTAGTTATACAGAGAAACAGCAGCTAAGCATGAAATCTGAAGTAGTCATGCTCCCCTCTTCTGCAATTTAGCAAGGACATCAGCAGATTAACGAAATACTCGAACAATTAGTTTCACCCTAGTGCACTGTTATTAAAAGACATACAGAGGTTACACACTTATGGCTTCCATATCAAATCTGCTCATTAGACATCATAAATTAGAGTGTCTCCCTGAGTCCCTGCTTCATTTTGGTTCCTCAAAAGAATGTTTTTTTCTCTCCTTATATTCTTATATCACCTCAAAGTTGTGGTGAGGCCACATCTGGAGTATTGTGTCCAGTTCTGGGCTCCACAGTACAAGAGGGATGTGGAGCTGCTGGAGAGAGTCCAGCGCAGGGCCACAAGGATGATCAGGGGCCTGGAACATCTGCCCTATGAGGAGAGACTGAGGGAGCTGGGCCTGTTCAGCCTGGAGAAGAGAAGGCTCAGAGGGGATCTAATCAGTGTCTACAAGTACCTCAAGGGAGGCAGTGAGGAGGAGGGTGCTGGCCTCTTTTCAGAAAGGAATCGATATTTTGGAGCTGGACCTACCATAATTGCTTCCATGGTAGGAAGAGGCCATTTTTACATCTGAAGACTGCAAAATACTGAGGAAATGTGGACATCTCCCCTACAAAAAAAAAAAAAAAAAAAGAGACAGCCAAAACCAACATACCTTTATCATGCATGTCCATGGCTTTCAGGAGATCCTCTCTGATGGGATGCTTAGCTTTGTAACACATTCTGTGAACATTTGAAGGAGTATCATCACCTGAAAGAGTGGTAAGGTCCATGCAGGTGACAGCTTTGAGTAGCCAAGCAGCCTATACAGTGTGTGAAAAAAAACTGTATTTTAGCTTATTTTTCCAAAACCAAAGTGCTTTAGAAGTTCTTGGAATCAGAAGATTGGATATCACTGAGAATCAACTGCACTTCTTAGAAAATAATTGACCTCCAAGAATCAGGAAACATATGTGATGTAACATGGAAGATATGCAAAGAAAGGTTTATGTGGATGGCAGAAATTTGTTCATGTCTGAAGCAGTTATATAATGGTGGAGAAGAGATTCAGAATCTCATAACTATACTAACTCACTTGTAATTGGATCAATCCCAATTTTTGGCACACAAATTTTGGTGGAAAAGCTAGGTACCAAATAAGAACAAGGCAGATGTTTTTAGCTGGACAAACAGCATCTTGTTTCACATTTACTTCTTTAACACGAAGAAAAAACACTTTCTATCGGAGTAAGTCCATTATTATAATATGCTTCCCTCTGTACAGTGTGTGTCTTTCGGAGCATCTATAATGCCTGTAAACATATATATACGCTTCCAAAGGAACCTAGGTTTGTGACTGCGAATAAACAGATGAACATGCACATCAGTGCTAGAAAAGCATGTGTGCTTGAGATCGAGTCTCCAGATGTCTTCACTTTGTGAGAAACTGAGGTAAAAAAAAAAAAAAACTGTAATTACTTGGGGCAAAACAAAAGGATTTGTAATATTTATTGAAGCATTTCCAGCGAGTTCTCATTTACACGGACAGCTTCAGTAAAAGCTAACATCCCTTAGCGCGCATTTGCTCAACAAGGGAAGAGCTCGTGCGGAGCAGGAGGTCTGTAAAGCAGCATCCCGTGGCGACACCTCCTGGCCCTTCCGCTCCCTGACATGGCTCCTCAGGATGTGCAGCAAAACTTCTTGTTTCTGCACGGAGGTATTGCCCTGCAAATCCAAACGGGCTGCCCAGTCTGCAAATCCTTCACACTTGGCTGATGGGACCTTTCCTTCTGAATCTGTTTATATTAGTAAATTAATTACATCAAAATTTGTTTTTGGGTTCCTGAACTTCACTAATGTTACAGGAATGGCTGTTAATGGCTTCTAGTCTGGTAAGTTTGACTGCTTGTTTCTGACTTCTAATTTTACCTTGTAACACAGATTTTTCACTGTAAATGACTCTCAGTTTCTTATGCTGGATTTTTTTTTGTCCTTCACTCGAGGGAATTTTTGTCTCATCTCTTAAGACGTGAATCATAAAGTCATCAAGACAGCAGTAGGAAGAGC